CTTCTGTGAGGTGATCGATCACCTTTTCGTTAATTAAACAAAACATATGATTTAGAATTCGACTTTGTATTTCTACAAGTCTATCTTCTCTCAGACACCTTCATCAGTTCGCAAAAAGGCAGAGATGATTAAACCAACCTAAAACAGCTATTTAATTAACTAGACTGACTTCGTCGTAGGCTTTATTCTATAACTTTTGATTCGTAATCAGCTTTTATAAAAAATTTCAGATGTGTAGTTTTTGAGTTATGTGTGAATTCAGAGTATTATTCAGTAGACCCATACCACTAAAAGCAGTTCTCGGTATTAGTGAAACTATGGTCAGCGGTTTGATCGCTGAAAATCCTGTTATACTATCAGTTTTATGGCCAGTAATATCATTAAGCTATAGGACATAGCAGAAAGAATAACATCCGAACTTTTAGCATTAATATCAAGCCAGTCAGTGCTTCTATATGGTCCAGAGACCTATAGGATGTCATGAAAAGCTTTTACAACATCCTCCAGAAGACTCTCATTTATACTTGACTTCTTTGACTCAATAGCGAAGATAAAGTGGTCAGCAAGAAAGGATAAGAGGTAAAAAAACTCTGGCTGGTAACGAAATAGCCGAGAACCTATTGCCCAACAAATATGCAGAGGGGAATGAAGGTGGATTGAGTATACGCTAGGGAGACTACTGAATAGGCCTCAGAGTGGAACTCGAACTGTAAGCGACGACTTGGGCATCCGAGGGTGATATGGAGGAGATTATATGAAGAAGGGGAAACCAAAGCTTGTAGGCAGTCATGCAGCTAGCTGAAAATGATGATAGAGGACCAAATACAATGGAGATGCACTGCCAAAGCCTTAAGTTCCAATCGTAATGCAAAGATTGAGTAATAAAATGTACATATGTATGACCACATATATCAGAAATAATTCAAACTTACTGCATTATCACTAAATATTGCGAGAATTCCAAATGGCAGTGAAGATATCAGATCGACTACAAACCAACCTTTCAAATAATTTAGGCGTATTAAAACAGGATCTGAAATAACAGCACCAGATGGTCCAACAAATGTTGTATGAAAATTTAATACAATATCAATGAAAAAAATGATATCAACTATATGCTCTACAGCAAAATATACTGACTCTTCAGATAATGAATGATGACCAAATGCAACACTGTAGGGTATTATAATACATGTATATCCAGTTAACAGAAATATAATCCAATCCCAGGCAGTTTTAAAAGTTAAATAATGCAGGACAACATGAGGTGGAGTTTTTGGCGATTCTTGACGATATTTCGGTATACTGGTACTTTGGACTGGAGCAACCTGCAAGTGAAGGAAAATGGAAAGGTATGAAATATGACTAAGGGCTTGAAGAAGTGACACACATACAGCAATATAACGCGAACGTAATTACAATAAAACCCAGATGAACATTAAAAAAACCGAAGTTCAAAATAAAGTTCAAAAAAAGGTGGCAAAAATGAAGTACGAAAACAAAGGAGAACACCCCAGAAGAAAACAAAATTCAAAAAAAAAAAATTGAAGATGGTAATGGAAACACTAAAAAAAAACAACCAGAAAAAGAAAAAATAAAAATATCGAGAAAAAAACCACTGACAAAGAACAAGGAAATTAGGTTGAAAGAAATTAAACCGCAGAGTGAATGTAGGATTATGCTCGCGTAATGCGAGTGTGTGACAGTGAATGCTTGAGGAGGTGGGAGAGTCGGGGGTATAGCTCAGTGGTAGAGCATTCGACTGCAGATCGAGAGGTCCCCGGTTCAAACCCGGGTGCCCCCTTCACTTTTCAATTCACACAAACAAACTCCATCCACTCACCACATAGTCGATACGAGATTACCCACAAAAATTAGTGCTGAATAAACACACGTGGACACAGTCCAATCCACTAGCAATTCAACTGACACGTGTATCCCGGTGTCACAACCTCAAACACTTCACGACCAACCAGTCAGTCACTCAACTGGAGACATAGAAGAAGAAACCACAGTCAATTCAATGTACACACACACACACATGCATGCATGCATGCATGCATGCACGCACGCACGCACGAATGCAGCACAGACATCAGATAGACAGGCAGACGGACAGAGGCTAAATTCAAAAATAATTAAACTGGAAAATGAAACAGCCAATGAGAGTGGCGCCAGGTTAGATTGACTTGTCTTGTGGATGATGAGGAAGAGACAGTCAGCTGGTCAATTCAAGTCAGTTGGTTCACATGAGCATACATGAGAGGGTGATGAGGAGGGAGGAAGTGATTACAGAGCGTTATGATACTAGTGACACTATGGGATACCGAGGAGGACGTGTGTAGCGTGTGTATGGCGTGAGTAGCGTGTGGGCCGTGGGTGGAGAGTGAGAGCAGCGAGCGATAGCCAGAAGTGGTTATCTTACATATTGGTAGGAAGTGTTGTGAAAAAGGTGTACACACTTGCCGGAACCCGGGATCGAACCGGGGACATTTAGATCTTCAGTCTAACGCTCTCCCTGCTGAGCTATTCCGGCGGCCGACAGCACCACCTCTCACATCAACTCCTCATCACAAGCACATCCTTATTATTATGCAGAAGGACGCAGATCAACAAACACTTCAAATTCACTGACACAAACACAAAAATACACTCACAAATACACAACATCCTCTCAAGCGCCATACCAAACACTACGAGATGCACAAATCACCAAGACAATCGTCTCCGACAACACACTCAACTCAGTCTACTACCTATCGATGAGCATGTCGGCAACCACGTCTCCCTCCAACCCTCACCTCCCCTCCCGCCAATCAACAACCACAATCAAGGCGAACTCCACGACAGACAATCGAGGCACGCATGCATTCCACGCACTCATCGAGCTACCGACAGTTCACAAATACACGTGTATTTCGGAGATCAGTGATTAACGTCAGGATAGTCTTCGGGTGGAATAGTGACAGACAGGATTGTGCATCACTTGGTCATCAACAAGACAGCGTGTTGGCATTGTATGTGAATGTGGAATGATGCTTTTGTGGTGTGCTTTGTGTATTTTGTCTGACGCCAGAATTGAGTGTGGTGTGAGTTTGATCAAAAGCGCTCCCGCGCCGGGAGTCGAACCCGGGCCGCCTGGGTGAGAGCCAGGAATCCTAACCGCTAGACCACGCGGGACGCCAACTTCACGCCACCTACAACAACACAGAATCAACCGCCAAATACTCACCAACTAATTCACACACTTCTTCGACAACCAAACACAATCACCTACCTACACATCTCACAACGCTACTCAGGCACACTTCTTCCCACTCCTCTCCTTTCTTATGTCCTCTTCCTTCTCATGTTCGCGCACCAACAAAATAACAAACAAACTGGTGGACAAACCAATCAACAAACAAACAGACAAACACACACACACACACACACTCTTCTTCGTCCTCATCAAACGTGTCAGCCTCTTATGATTCTCTAATGATTCTTTCACTCCACACCGTGACACCATCATTGATTGTCATCTTCATCGTCATTGTCGACATGGGCGTCGAAGTCAACATTGGCCTTCGACACTGCGTCCATGTGCATATCTGTTGTGTTCGTGGTTGTGTGTGTGTGTCTCTGTCGTCTGTCTGTCTGTCTGTCTGTCTATGTTGTGTTCGGAATGTGTAGTCTGTGTTTCATACACACTGTGATGTGAGTGGTTTTCGTGAGAATTTGTGGTTGAATAATTCACTGTTGAATGATTGTTGGTTTGTGTTTGTGTTATGCGAGTGTGTGACAGTGAATGCTTGAGGAGGTGGGAGAGTCGGGGGTATAGCTCAGTGGTAGAGCATTCGACTGCAGATCGAGAGGTCCCCGGTTCAAACCCGGGTGCCCCCTTCACTTTTCAATTCACACAAACAAACTCCATCCACTCACCACATAGTCGATACGAGATTACCCACAAAAATTAGTGCTGAATAAACACACGTGGACACAGTCCAATCCACTAGCAATTCAACTGACACGTGTATCCCGGTGTCACAACCTCAAACACTTCACGACCAACCAGTCAGTCACTCAACTGGAGACATAGAAGAAGAAACCACAGTCAATTCAATGTACACACACACACACATGCATGCATGCATGCATGCACGCACGCACGCACGAATGCAGCACAGACATCAGATAGACAGGCAGACGGACAGAGGCTAAATTCAAAAATAATTAAACTGGAAAATGAAACAGCCAATGAGAGTGGCGCCAGGTTAGATTGACTTGTCTTGTGGATGATGAGGAAGAGACAGTCAGCTGGTCAATTCAAGTCAGTTGGTTCACATGAGCATACATGAGAGGGTGATGAGGAGGGAGGAAGTGATTACAGAGCGTTATGATACTAGTGACACTATGGGATACCGAGGAGGACGTGTGTAGCGTGTGTATGGCGTGAGTAGCGTGTGGGCCGTGGGTGGAGAGTGAGAGCAGCGAGCGATAGCCAGAAGTGGTTATCTTACATATTGGTAGGAAGTGTTGTGAAAAAGGTGTACACACTTGCCGGAACCCGGGATCGAACCGGGGACATTTAGATCTTCAGTCTAACGCTCTCCCTGCTGAGCTATTCCGGCGGCCGACAGCACCACCTCTCACATCAACTCCTCATCACAAGCACATCCTTATTATTATGCAGAAGGACGCAGATCAACAAACACTTCAAATTCACTGACACAAACACAAAAATACACTCACAAATACACAACATCCTCTCAAGCGCCATACCAAACACTACGAGATGCACAAATCACCAAGACAATCGTCTCCGACAACACACTCAACTCAGTCTACTACCTATCGATGAGCATGTCGGCAACCACGTCTCCCTCCAACCCTCACCTCCCCTCCCGCCAATCAACAACCACAATCAAGGCGAACTCCACGACAGACAATCGAGGCACGCATGCATTCCACGCACTCATCGAGCTACCGACAGTTCACAAATACACGTGTATTTCGGA